AATCGCAACTGTTTTACAAAGATTCCAGAGACGACAATGCCGACTTCAATTCTACCGATTCTCTTGCTGGGGGAAATGACGGTCTCCTCAGTCGAGCGTCTTTCATAGCTCTGAGCAAGTCTCTAACCTTGGAAGGATCCATCATGGAAGACGTGTTTAACCTCAACCGCCACCTGGAGAACGGAGTCGATGTCAACGTGAAACTGTTTCGATCTAGCGCGCCCTTCGCACTGATGAATGGAGAGACTGGAAAAGAATACAAGATAGAGTTGCAAGACGTGTACTTGAAAGTCTGAAAGCTGAGGATGAATAATGCTTTGGTTCTCGCTCACGCGAAACAGTTGGAAAGGGCCAATGCTTTGTATCCTTACACGGAAACGGATATCCGACAAGCCAGTGTCAGCTCTTCTAAGATGACGTTCACATACGACAATCTGTTCCTAGACCATTGTCCAACCCGCGTAGTCGTCGGCTTCGTGGAAAGGAGCAGCTACGACCGGTTCAAACACGAAGAATCCGTTCAACTTCCAAGGCTCTAACATAAAAACGGTTGGATTGTACACGGATGAAAGAGCCCCGGGCAGCCAGTGGAAGCGGGAGATATCGAAGCTTATGTTAATATGTTTGATGGTATTGTCCAAGAGCGTATTTTCGCCCTTGGATGGACGCTCAGGATGATGACAGAAGACAAAACTCAGGAGTGAAGTTTTAGACGACAGCAACCAGGTTTATTGTTGCAGGTTTGATGGTATGAACACCTGGAGAGAGAACATAGGCAACTATATTGAGGGAACAAACTTTCAAATCGGCAAGGCCCTATTCGTCTTCAATTTAGAACCGCTTTCTATCGATGATAATTATCTCAACTTGATCAAATCGGGGAACCTGTGACTCAAGGTTCAATTCAAGTGGGCGCTGACCTCCCCTCTGAACGCCATCGTACTCTCAGTCTCCTTCGCTGATAGAAGTAGGCAAATCAAGGAACATCTTTATCAAATAACAAAAGCAGAAAAAGAACAACAGAAGATAAGACATGAACCGAAACCTATTAACGATGATCGATCTCTTCGAAGATGCATTGTAGGCGTGTACGCTAGAGGCGAAATAACAACTTCTTTAATTACTGTAAAGGCGCCGTTTCGGCATAGATCCTTATACCGTTGTCAAGCAAGACTGAATGATGTTCTTGCTTTAAGTGTTTAAGAGGTCGCCTTCTGCCCAGGCAATTTCGGCTGACATGTCCCTCTTTGGGACTCATGTGTGTGAGTGGGGTATTCACATAATTTTTGTATTGATATGATTTCTATTTTCGTATATTGATATAATTTCATTTTTATCCTTGTCTGCTCGGTTTATGTACGTCCGAGTAGCTGTCCATCTCTCAGAAACAGAGTTAGTTTGGCCTTCGCTATTGCATCTCTTGGCTTCAGGACTCAGGAGATCTATGACAGATAACGGATCTAACTGCAATTCTTGTTTTAACCGAGCCCGGGCTGGTGCGTGGTCTTGACACTCTATAGTAACACGTGAGCAATGGATTCAGCCTGATTGCAAGATGAACAAATCTTGTCATAGTGCTTTTTGTGACCGAGTCTGAGGCGTGAGATGGCAATTTCAGTTTTCCTTTCATTTGAGTATGAGTATGACTTTTGGTGGATCTTGGGCTGAATTTTGTGTAGTCATCTGCCAATCTTATTTGCGTCCCATTGGGCTTGCCATCTTTGGGCTATGGGAGCTTTGATTTTGCTTATTATCTCTAGTTTACTAAAGGGAATAGGCTGTATCTCCGCTTTGTTTAGCGAGTCAGCCTTTTCATTTCCATGAATATCTATGTGAGAGGGAATCCAACACAGCTCCACCTGTTGCCCTTGGTCCGTTGTTTTGTATATTCGTATAGAATATTGTTGACTGTGTTTGGCCTGGAGTTAGAGTTTCTGCCGCTGATGGCTTGAAGTGCACTTGGCGAGTCTGATAGGACGACTGCCTTTGCTTCCGGAAGTTCCGGTATGAGTTTGAGTGCATGATGAATTGCCTCCAATTCAGCAGTGAATACCGACTGACCATCAGGCAAGCGAACCGAATGTGCTTGGGGTTTGGAGCTGTGGATATGGATCCCGTAACCAGCACTGTTGTTGAAAGGATTCTTGGATCCATCAGTGTATAAATGGGCCCAGCTGTCCCAGGTAGTTTGAATTTTAGTGATAGCTACTGATCGTAGTAGAGTTGGCTTTTCTTTTTTAGTGACTTCTGATGTTGAAGCAGTGTCAACTTTGGTAGTCCAGGGAGTGTGTAACCGTTTATAGTGACTTTCTGCAGGCTGAATGTAATGACAATTGTGACTTCGGATGAGTTCACGTACTAATATCCCAGATGGCTTTAGTGAGGGATTTTTCCGAGCTTCATCTCGAGTGTTTTTGTGTTGCCACATCATTTTAACAAAGGGTTTGATGGTCGTCCCCAGAACGATAATATTGCCTGCTCTCTTCTTAGTTTCAATGGGTTCTCCCGTTTCTACTTGTAGTGCTTCTAGTGAAGTGCCTGTTGCTGCACCTGTGGCCAGCATTAGGGCCTTGTACTGTATTCTGTCGAGGCGGCTCAATTACAGTATTTGATGCTGAGTGAAATGCCTCACAACCATAGTCTATTTTGGATCTGATAAGTGATTTACAGAGGTCCAGCTGAGTGTCCCTCGATGTGCCCCAAGATGTGCCTGAAATTGCCCGTAATACGTTCAGGTCTTTTTGATATCTGTGAATGATGAAAATGGTACAGAATATATATAGTAGGTGAAGGATTAACAGTAACAACACTTGCAGTAACAACAATTGCATACATGAGGGAGTAGGTTAAGTAATGACAACAGAAGGATAATACTGTAACAATAAGGACAGAGAACACATGAAGTGGAAGCCAATAACACACGAAGCCAATTGAACAGTATAAGTATACATAGGTGGGGTTATTTTGCCTAATGATATCATAGTAGGCAGGTGGGATGAAATAGCCTTGATCACGAACATCCGTAAGTCGTAGAGAAAATCGTCGATTTTTACAGATAAATCCTTACAATGACTATCTGGGGATTTTACGATTCATCTCACTCACATCTACCACGGTTCTAAGCGTCAAACGGGGTGTGAGAAATCGTACTCCCATCATTCCATTCCTATGTCAATACAAACACGTAAAGCAGGTGGGGGATGAGGCGCAAAGACCACTACTTCAACGACCGCGACGTCGACAGGGAGCATTTGTAGCTCGACGTCGATATGCACTAGACGTAATGCGAACATCTTAAATACTTCGATTCATTAGTTCGCGACCCGTGAAGGTCCGGGTTAGAATAGGTCTTCAGCAACCCATGCTAGTGCGGCTTTAAACAACAAACAGACAAACATGAAGAAACATGTTTTCTATAAAGATCAAAGTTGTGGAATGAAATATGACATGATATACATGATATCTTTTTGCTTATGTGTCTTCACGTGACATTTCAGATGATCATAATGCTTAAAGTTTTTGAAATAAATTTCACATTCGAAAACTTTAGTGAATGGACCACAATTGCTTTTATGTCTTACTAATGATCGTTTCTTATAATGTTTAAGACAAAACTCGCATATGTATATCGGGGCTGTGAAAGATTGTCATCGCACGCCCTTTATCCGCACAGGGGTGCTATAGACTTCATACGTGGTGGTGCCCTTTATCCGCACAGGGGTGCTATAGACTTCATACGTGGGGGGTGCCCTTTATCCGCACGGGGGTGCCAAAGACTTCATACGAGGAGGGTGCCCTTTATCCGCACGGGGGGTGCTATAGACGTCATACGTGGGGGTGCCCTTTATCCGCACGGGGGTGCTATAGATTTCATATGAGGGGGGTGTCATATATCCGCACGGGGGTGCTATAGCCTTCATACTAGGGGGTGCCCTTTATCCGCACGGGGGTGCTATAGACGTCATACGAGGGGGTGTCCTATATCCGCACGGGGGTGCCATAGACTTCATACGAGGAGTGTGCCCTTTATCCGCACGGGGGTACTATAGACGTCATACGAGGAGGGTGCCCTGTCAATGGGGATCGGGGGTGCTATAGACGTAAGGCTATAGGGATCCGGGAGGTGCTATAGACTCAACACTTGGGGTCGGGGGTTGCTATAGACTTCATACCAGGGTCTGTGTTCTATATCCACACGATTTTGGGGTGCCCTGCATCCATGAAGACCTCTACTAATGTGCATTATGCGGTCCAACGAAATAACGTCCGGGAGAATGAAACTAAATAATAAAGTTTTTTCTGTAGTTGTGTTCTTGGATAGAATATAATAGAGTGTCAATAATGTGCAGTAAATGCATGTTTATTTATAATCTATAATTTAACTAACTGCAAATGACAATTTTTTATTTATTCCAAAATAATATAATCTAAATATAGTATGTCAAATTCCTAACTTGGGGAGGCTTGAATATTATTGGTTGTTAGGTTATTTGGTTTTTCAGTCTTTGATTTCCGACCTAGAGTACAATACTTTTCTGATAAGTAGTAGAGTTTTGTTAGGAAAAACGGTTTGTGTGTGTGCATCATTGCGTAATAAATATCATAGAAAGACGGGAGAGGATTAAAAGCGTTCTAAGAAAGTATTTCAAGTACCAGATAGGAATGACTTCTTTTAATATGGATGCTGAGTTTGTTCATGTGTTTCTGGAATCAATGCTAATTTATTAATGTTGTTTTTAAAGATGATGTTCCAGCAAATGGTACTGTGCTCTTAGAACTTCATAAATAATAATTAACTTGATATGTCGGACTTAGCCTACACACGTTTGGTTGTATAGTAAGTCAGAGAGACTGATCACCGTCCTGTAATGCTAACTTGTGTATACATCAATCACAATTGTGACTCCATATACTCAAGTTCTGTAACGCGATCACGAAATAAAACGATTTGTGTAAGGGAAATAACTGTTGTTTCGAAAAGTTTCAGCGGAAGTAAACAAGCCAAGCCAATATGGCGGGTGTTGGGGGAGTGCCCCAAGAAAGTGAACTTTCTGACGACCCGTCATCAATTAATTCATCAACGGAAAAAACTAACAGCAATGAAGTCAGTTCACAAGAGGGCCAAATTCCATCGCCCAGTAATATAACCGAGTCTGCACAGATCAAATCAAAGACCACCACCAAAGAGACTTACCCGGAAGAAACTCGTCTTAGCGGATGGCTGGCCAAAGTTGGTGCTCTGGGCTTCGTGAAAACTAGCAGAGTGTTTTGGTTTGTTTTCGGCGATGACACCTGCAAACTGTACTATTATCGCAACCCCCAAGATTTGCTGCCTCTCGGAGAGATTGACATTTCAAATGCCTTCTTTACATTTGAACCAAATGTGAAGGACAAGCCGGGTTTATTTGAAATCAGGTACTGATCGAGTCATTACAATAATCAGTCATTGAGTGAATTATATTAAACTGTTTCTTTATATTAATAAATGCGCAATTCTCAGACATTTTTTATAAAATATTTTTCATTTATCTCTGTGCAAGTAGGATTTATGACAGACAACTAAGAGTTCTTAAATTGCATCTATTTTGAGAGACCTCTAAATGTAAATATTTCCTTGAAGCACGTGTTTTACTTTTAATCATGTGAGGATGATTCACTCAGTGTCTGACAGAAGCTGCATTTAGATCCTGATAGAATCTACATTGTTTCATCTTGTTGAAGTAAAGGTAATTTAAATTTGGTATATTATATGATATTTATGTTAGTTTAATGAATAATAAAACTGTTAAATGCACATCAATTATCCTGATTATGCCTCCACATGAGCTCCGCGCTCTGATTCCAAGTTTAATTAGTGCCATGTGGTAACATTGTTATTTGGGTAAACATAAACAGCTAGACTGATACAATAGCTTCATACAATTTCTGTTGACATACAAACAAAGTGGTGTTTTGGTGACTAAATGAAATGAGATTTGCTACAACAACCAATTTGGCAGAGCTTATGTTGAGCTTTTTGTTGAACAATGCATGAGCGGTTATATGCCTTTTCTGCACAAACATGTTACTAATGTTACCATGGTTACATGATGTTGTTCTTGTTATCATCCAGCATAGCAATCATGTCACATATATTCTGATACTTTTAAATTGCATGTGAATTTACTATATGGACATGATGGGGACATCAAATGGTTGGGGTCAGATGCCATGTTTTTAGTCTTATTGGTGTAATTATTAGCTGTGAGATATTTGTGCTTCATAAGATTTGAGAAAGCAGACAACTGAAGTGATGTTTGAGTGAGTGGCTTGGTCACCCTTGTCGGGAGTCAAGGGAAGGAACTTTCAAATAGTAGGATTATTCTACCTCCAACATTGCTTCATCCTGTGTTTTTGCAGGTGAACGGTTGACTTGCCTTTGCATGTGTTTGTGACTGGTGCCAGTTGGAACAGGATATGCTGACCTATTGGCAAAGAAACTTTATTCCAAAAGTGTCCAATTATTAATATTGTCCAACTAAACTATTTTTCCATTTGTCACCAAAGCTCCATGGAGGCTAGTGATTTCGTCACTATATGCGTAAAGATATTTTGTCATGCTCCTCACTGTTGCAGTTGTCATAGCATATATATAGATATGATTATACAAAACAATATGTAAAGCACACTGAAAGGCTTCAATTAGACCATTCTGCTCTGATTTCAGAATAGGCACGTTTGTTTACAAACAAGAGAAATGTCAAGTCATGTGATATGCAAATCAGGATGTGGCAGTGGTGTAATGCTAAGTCATCGCTGCGAAAGAGTGTGGCCCCAGCTAACAATATTTCCATCATATTTCAGCAGTCCATATTTCATTTGTAAGGGACCCGTGAAGATCCGGGGTAGAATAGGTCTTCAACAACCCCTGCCTGTCATATGAGGCAACTATGCTTGTCATAAGGGGCGACTTACGGGACCGGGTGGTCAGGCTTGCTGACTTGATTTGATGCATGCAATTGTGTGGATCGATGCTTATGATATCAATCAATGGATTGTCTGGTCCAGCCTCGATTATTTACAGACTGTCGTCATATACCGGGAATATTGCTGAGTAAGGTGTTAAACAACAAACAAAAAAAATCATTCCTCAGGTCAGTACATACACCATTTGATTAGCTTATCCATATGTTAGGGTAAGGGTAGGAATAAAACGCTTTTATCGGGGGATGTAATAATTTTGGTACAATTTTGAAATTGAATATTCTGGAATATCCTCATTAGATCTGTATGTAAACAGCCTTGCATTGTACCTGTCTGTGTTCAGGTCTGAAGGGAAGATCCACTACCTGGATGCCCAGGAGAGACACAAGATGGTTTACTGGCTGCAGGAACTGCAGAGGAAGAGACGAGAGTACAGCCAGAAACGGACCACCATATCATCAGAGAGGGTTCAGTGGACAGTCAAGGTATTTCCATAACCATGGCAACTGTCCTATTACATGTACCCCGGTAAATATGAAATGCTGGTTGTCAGAAATACAGGACCAGGGCCAATATTACTCTAAACGGAGCGTCATTTGTTTTTATCTCGGATCAAAGACAATTTAAGACACTGTATGTCTCACTGAGAAAACCAAAAAAATGATGTTCCAGACTTCATGATTCATTGGTTTGGGTTCTTATTCCAATTATAGTGTAACTGTTTCATTGGCATGTTACTGATCCATTTCTATGTGGTCCGAATTGAAGCCTTAATCATGATAATAGGGGTATTTTACAGAGTGCCTTTAGATTTACACAAATGAGAATGACACCCAAGTTTCAGATGTTTAAATGTATATGCTGTGAAATGGGTATGGATGCGATACATATTCAAGATTTTCTTTTCACAGCAGATTGTATGCCTGCAACGTTTATGCCCTTTGTCAACTGTTTATTTTTTTACATTGTTTATAACACTCCATGTATCTGAGGCAATACTGACCAAAAAAAGGGCTCTCCCTAATCCATGTTGGAAATAAAGAGTGGACCTTGAGGTTTGCTTCTATAGAATTTGAATCTAGGGACCCCCTGAACTGTTTAGTTTTTACATGAGGGCTGTGACTTTTGTGCTAAATTTCAAACACTGCCAATCTACTATTTGAACTAGGATGTCTGCTTTTTGTATTTAATAACATCCTGACAGATATATGTCTTAAAAAAACAGGAAGTGACTGGCTACCGGTATATGGGTTCCTTGTTAAAAGCCAGTAAACTGAGTGAAAACAGGTTTGAAAAACTGACATATAAAACATTTTGTTGCACAGAAGAGACTTCAGATCAGTGGCCTGTTGGGTGATGATGTTGATGATGAGGATGGTGGTAGAGTCATCTTGGAAGCTCCCATGGACAACATCCAAGTGGAGCAGAGTTTCAGTGGGAGCAAAATACCTCAGTGGAATCTGAAGAAGGAGATCCGAGATGCTGTTGTTAGTATCAGGTCCAACTTCAAAATATCCGGAGAGGGAAACAGAGGTAGATAATTTATGATGTTTTAGTTTGTTTGTTTTGTTGTTTTATGCTGCACTCAGAAATAGTCCAACTTCCGCTATTTAACCTATTCGTGTAAACAATCATGATTCAGACAAACCAGTGGTTGATAGCATGAGCAACGTCCCACGCCATATGGGTACAATTACACGCGACCCGTGAAGATCCGGGGTAGAATAGGTCTTCAGCAACCCATGCTTGTCGTAAAAGGCGACTACGCTTGTCATAAGAGGCGACTAACAGGATCGGGTAGTCTGGCTTGGCTGATGCATGTCATCGATCCCGATAACGTGGATCAATGCTCATGATATCAATCACTGGATTGTCTGGTCCAGACTCGATTATTTACAGACTGCCATCATATAGCTAGAATATTGCTGAGTGCGGCGTTAAACAACAAACCAACCAGCCAATTACACGCAATCACCCATGCCACTGTGTCTGACCACCCTATCTGGTTTAGTTGACTCTTACAACAGGCATAGTTTACTTGGGATTAGTTCTCTTCCAGAGTGCCCACAGGGCTATTGTTTTAGTGCCTACAACGGGTATATTGAAGGCACTAGTGATGATGTTCCTTGGTCAAGTTTGTTCTTGTGTAAGTATGGTACTGGTAATGTAACTTGTTTGTATAGGGCGGTCGGGTAGCCTAGTGGTTAAAGTGTTCGCTCATCACACTGAGGACCTGGATTCCATTCCCAACATGGGTACAATGTGTGAAACCCATTTTCTGGTGTCCCACGTCGTGTAATTGCTGGAATATTGCTAAAAGCGGCGTAAAACCAAACTCACTCACTCATACTTGTGTTCCCAATTACGCATGTCCTCCCCTCCCCTAGGGGGCGGTCGGGTAGCCTAGTGGTTAAAGCGTTCGTTCGTCACGCTGAAGACCCGGGTTTGATTCCCGACATGGGTACAATGTGTCAAGCCCATTTCTGGTGTCCCCCGCCGTGATATTGCTGGAATATTGCTAAAAGCGGCGTAAAACCGTACTCACTCACTCCCCTCCCCTTGGGCAATTGACTACATAACTTATATAGTCCCAGGTGAGCTGTGAACTAGTTGGCAGTAATAGCTCGTGCCCAATCTTTCTATATAACAATGTAATACAATGTTTCAGAAACTCCTGGCTCACTGTCCCCAGATTCGGGGTCCTCACGGGAAGACTGGACCCTATTGGAGACCGAGGTTCCTCCCACTGAGACTCTGTTGCCCCCAAACAACACAGCAGCCCCCTTCAAATCTTGCCCAGAACTCCAGTCTCCCACCTCCCCCGTCTCCAAGTCCAACCCCCAGGGGAAACTTCTGTCCACATTCAAGAAGCTGGCGTCCAAGAGAAGCAACACTGTGACAGAAGGGGTTTATAAGGATCAGCGGAATAAGGTTGTCTTCCCTACATGTGTTCGCTGTAAACATGTAAGTTCACATTAGACTTGCACCACTTCAGGCTTTCCTCCCACATCAAGCTTGGTATCATCATATGCTGTTCAAAGTGTTAAACCAACCTGACTCACACCCACCAAAGTGTTCAAAGCCTCAGACTCTTTTGTGTCCAGGCAGGTCAAGCCTGTCATCGTCGGTTCAAATCCCAGATTCACCCTAAATATGTTTCATCATGTCAGCATCATACTTATGCTTGTTGGTTTCACAAAAGTGTTAAATCTGTGTTAGACCTGCATGCATCACTTTGCTTTCCTGATAACAATCACTCATTGACTAATTGTTCAGATTAACAAGAATCTGATCACACTCGGGGGGCCCAGGGGGCCCAGTCATCTAAAGCATTGCAATTCACTCTGCAGTGTTGCATCCCTTGGGCGAGCCAGAAACTAATCCCAGTTTGCCCTGATTATGTTTCTAGGTTTGTCAGCACCATACCCGTGCTTGTGGGTTTCTCCAAAGTGGTGAATGGCTGAGACCTGCATCACTTCGGGCTTTCCTCCAACATTAAGATGACACGCTATATAACTGCAATACTGTTCAAAGCGGCAATAAACCCTTACTTACCTGATAACACTCACTCACTCACTCACTCACTCACTCACTCACTCACTCACTCACTCACTCACTCACTCACTCACTCACTCACTCACTGTTCAGATTAACGAGGACTTGATAACTTTCACTCACTGTTTGTTCAGATTAACGAGGACCTGATAACACTTCCTCACTGTTTGTTCAGATTAACAAGGACCTCATAACACTCACTCACTCACTGTTTCTGATAAACAAGGACCTGATAACACTCACTCACTGTTCAGATAAACAAGGACCTGATTACACTGACTCACTCACTCACTGTTCGTTCAGATAAACGAGGACCTGATAACAGCCCGTGATGACCTGCAGGCCACAGAAGAGGAGCTTCAGGCCAACAGGGAGATTGTGAAACTCCTTCAGAAAGAGGTGGATGTACAGAGGACCGAGATCAACACCATGTATGTGGACTAGGGGAATAACACAAACAAACAGGAAAAAATGCTAGGGGAATAACAGAAAATAAACACCATGAAGATGTGCAGGGGTAGAGGGGGTTGAAACCGGGGACATTTCCATGTCAGACATTGTTTGATTCTATGAACAAAGAGCAAAACATGGTTACAACGCACGCACCACAATGATTCACAAACGAGCATTTTCACAAGAAAATAAACGAGCAATGTGAACATATAACATACACATATAACATATAGGGAAATACCGTATTCGACGTAATAAGCGCCCCCGCTCTAATTAGCGCCCACGGCAATATTTGCTAATATATTGGCAAGTGAACAATCCCAATTAGCACCCCTTCCGATTGATCAATGTACAAAAGACTTATCTCTTAGTGTATAATATGCACTCGTGTGTTGTATGCACCCTTAATTATGGGCAATTACATTCTTGAAAATATATCTGTCGTATATACACAGTTCCGGTTGTCAGTATAATCCACGAAATTTAAATTTCAAATCTGTTTTTTTCCACCAAAATAATATTCTAATAAGAGACCCCTATTTCTAATTTTGAGAGCGCCCTGGGCGCTTATTACGTCGAATACGGTAAGTGATGTTAACCCCCAAAACATACAAGAACAGGGGAAACGTAAAACACAACGTGCATACGCGAACCCCGCAAGTATAGAGAAAAAAGGACGGGAAAAATTCTCCGTTTGGCGGGAAAATTATATCCAAGCGTAGCTACCGCAACGCCCAATAAAAGCACAGTTTATTAGAGAATAAACTATAATAAATATCACCGAATATTCGAGGAACGATTCAGCAGTAGGATACACGTCTTGCTAACGCAAGCGAAGGAGACGAGTGAAGGGTGTCACATGGCAGCTAGGTGGCTACGCACGTGCTGCATGAGGTAATTGAGATCTCTGTGGTAGATTTCGCTATAGCAGCAGTTGTGGGAGACAACAGCCTCGGTATAACAGTGGTAATGTATTACTTATAGAATATTCCGAATAGGAAAATTCTACAAAATAATTGAAGGCAAGTAGATTAACTGGATTAAGTACTGACACCCTGACCCAAATTAACACCCAACACCCTCAATTAACAATAGTAAAACAGTGATTTGAAGTGGATATATTCTGCCTTTAAATGCGATAACTACAGGGGGGAATTCAGTCGAAATGCTTATAACAAACTACAGCTATCAAGAACTGAAATTAGTGGTCGCTTTGAGTTTGTAATAACCATAGTTTACTGTATTATCCCAAATGGTAGATGTAGTCGTGAGGACAAAATGACTTGATGCTAATTTCCATTTCTGAAATATATTTCACTATCTTTGTGTCAGGTTGTCACCTTCTATTTTTTGGAGGGGTGGTCGGTTAGTCTAGTGGTTAAAGCGTTAGCTCGTCACGCTGCAGATCCGGGTTCGATTCCCAACATGGGTACAATGTGTGAAGCCCATTTCTGGTGTCCCCTGCCGTGATATTGCTGGAATATTGCTAAAAGTGGCGTAAAACCATACTCACTCACTCACTATTTTTGGACAATTTAGAATTGTATGTGTTGTGTTAGGAGAGAAGTGGGCAGCAAGTCAGGCGAGGACAGGCATGAGATGCTGCGTCAGCGAGACAAGCACATCGTGGAGATGAGGCACAGCATGTCCAGCCTGGATGAGGAATGCTCACAACTGAAACAAAACACAAAGTAAGTCGAAAGTCTAGCTGGCTGCATTTGCTATTTGTACTTTGAAAAAAGGTTTGATTTGTATACCAGAATAACAGCAGACGGAGTAATGACATTTTGAAGTGTGTTCGTTGCATTTAACTGCGTTTTGGCATGTCGTTTTTGAATGTGACTTTCAATGTACATGAAACCCACACACAGGTATGGTGTGCTGACAAACCAAGACCCATTATCAGGGAAACATGTAGAACCTACAACCATCAGATCTTTTCATGTAAAAAAGGCTCAAAGAAATATTACTATGTAATAAGTCAAACCGATGAAAGCTTAAAAGTTATTGACAAGTGGGAAGAGGAACTTTTAATGGATATGAACTGGCCTAGCTTATTTTTAGAGCACACAAAACTACTCCAGACCCTAAACTTAGATGGTTTCAGCTTAGATTGCTCCATAGAATTCTACCTGTTAATACTTATCTACTCAAGATGCATATTGTTGACAACTGTCTATGTACTTTCTGTAATGCCGAGCCAGAATCTATCCAACATCTGTTTTGGGACTGTAGGGTCAGCAAAAATTTCTGGAAAAGATTTTCACAATGGATTGAATCCAAGTGTCCACATACTGGCAAGATAAATCTTACTTCAGACCTAATTCTTTTTGGCTTTTCAAAACATTTCCACACCGATGATATTTTTGATCTGATACTCTTATTGGCCAAATTTCACATTTATAGATGCAAAATGAAAAATAACCAACCAACCATTACACATTTCCAAAATGAGGTTAAATATTATTACCAAATAGAAAAATATGGACACTTTAATAAAGCCAAACAGACTGAATTCTATACGAAATGGGCTCCTTATGAAAACCTTTTGAAAATATAAACATTTGCTATTCCAAAATTTTACTAAATATATATCCTGCATTCTGTCTTCATAAGTACTAAAGCTTCTAGTGAGTGTGAATGTGTGTATGGATGTGTGTGAATGATATGTACTTTCTTAAAAAACCCTGGTCATGTATTTCGACTCTTATCAAAACATGATGTACTTTTACCAGGAACAATAAAAAAAAAAAAAAAAAAAAAAAAAAAATACAACCATCAGATCCAGAGCAAAGCAATGTGACTGAAAGTTATCTCCCCTTGATTGTGGCAATTGGTAATTTTGAATCTCTAGTTTGGCAATATCACGTGAAACAATCAGCCATGCTTTATTTGTTATTCCTTATCTATATTTTATGTTATGTTACCATAGTTACAGCTTACATTATGTCAGTGAACAGACAATTCAACTATCTTGCAATCTGTATGCTAAATTGTTTTTGAGTTTTTTTACAACAGACATACAATGTAGTTCTACAGACACCTACAAAAGGCAGCTGTCTTAACTGGACTCACTCCAGTGTAAATTGTACTGACTGTGGGAAGACTGTTGGTAAACATGGATACTCAGTTGGCCAGTATTTTTAATGAAATGTAATAAAAATGGGAAAAGGTGATTGGTTAAGAGATTTCCACATAACCCTTCGCATTTGCTAGCTGCTGGCTGCGTTTGTGTTACCTCTCACCCTCCTGACACTGACTGAGGGTGCACCACTGGCATGTTTTCCCTGATTCCTGCCCCCACTTGCAGAAAACTATTTCAGCGATAAGTCTGTTGTAAACCCTATACTTTAACATAGGCTTACAATAGTTGTAGTGCTGAGGTGGTTTTGTGAAAGTTAGCTCTGCGGGTCTTGTCAGTGTCTAACCAATCCCCAGCCTAAGACTAGTCCAGAGAACTAGTTTACTCTTTATTTCACTAGTCTCCAGAGTTTGTAGGTAGTCCTGCTTGAACAAGACAAAAATGTTTACTATGTTTACTATGTTTACCTGTCAATATCTAACCCGTGAAGAGCAGGGGTAGAATAGGTCTTCAGCAACCCATGCTACTGTAAGAGACGACTTTGCTTGTTGTAAGAGGCGACTAATGGGATCGGATGGTCATGCTCGCTAACTTTGTTGATGCAGGTCATCGTATCCAAATTGCGTGGATTGATGCTGATGATGTCAATCACTGGATTGTTTGGTCCAGACTTGATTATTTACGGACTGACGTCATATACCTGGAATATTGCTGAGTGCGGTGTTAAACAACAAACAAACAAACAAAAACCTATTGATATCTGGATGTACTCATACGTTAAACTTTTTCAATCAGAAATACAGGAGATAACAGGTATTGCTGGTTTACTAGAACATTTTCAGATAAACTCAAATTTTATGCGTGACTGTTATAAATGGTTGAAATTATACACTGTTGATATTAGGCTTGGGCAACAAAGGAATAACGTGAATATTGGACATAAACTGATTTGGGAAAGAGTTTGAACTCCGGGTTGTCCTGGTTTCTAGGTCTGTCAGCACCATACCTGTGCTCGTGGGTTTCATTACAGTGGTCGGGCTTTCGTCCCCCAGAAAACTGATGTTCTATTCCAAGTGCCATAAACCAAAGCCACTCACATCCACCATAGTGTTTAAAGTCTGCCTCTGACATGCTGGAAACCTACGTTCATGGGTTTCCAATCCCCAAACATACACAGAACTCCCTCATCATGCTGACATACTATGGTATAACTGAAATACTGTTCATGGCGGCATTACCTCTTTGGTCGTCTTGGCCACGTCAAACCAAAAGAAGCTAAAAGATGGTACTTGTTGTTACCCTGCCTGGCACTCGATAGTTGCGCCGCCAGTGGCTATTAAGAGTTATGTCCCTTCTATGTCCCTCTTATTTACCAATCAGATTCCACCTCTCATATCACTTGCATTTGCTTCAAACAAGATGGCGGCGCCCAGTCAAGACGATCAAATTGATAATCAAGATCTATATTGTAAAACAAACAGGTTTTACTGTGCAAAGTGCATCAAATCATGTGAGCACCTTGATTAGAAACATGAAAGGATTTGGAAAATATTTGTTGACAACGAGTTGACGGTACACATGCTTTACAAATCCTGCAATGGACCGACATCTGCGTGGCAGTTGACAAACCATTTGTCGATTTTTGTTATGCGATTTTGATTGGACTATGCATGGACTATGATTGGATCATTAGTCCAGACAAAATATAACTCCATAATTCCAGCCTAATTCAGCAAGGGTGATTAACTGGAGTTTTATAGTCAGTTACCTCCCTTGCCTCAGGAAGAAGCACTTCATGAGATTGTTCAGCCCTATCACATATTTTGAAGTGTTGATACTAATTGAAAAAGTGTTAATAGCCCAGATGTCTACTGTATGTTTGTACTGGCACGATATCCTCTGTATAAACTGTATTGCACACAGCTCTGTACAGGAGATTCCTATATATTCGGCTGTTTTCAGGAAAGGCAAGATGGTGAAGTAAGCATTCCTTGTCATGTTGCCCATTTTTCCCATGGTCGTCATGTGTCATGTTAGTTTGCCATGAATAAAGATGGGATGAAATAAGGGGACTTCCACAAGGAGAATAAGGTGTTTGATATGAAACTTAGTATGTACCCACGCTACTATTCAGCAATTTAGTAAACCCCAGATGTGAACATATCACTCATTGACTTTATTATTTTATATAAATTATATTTATTGAACTCATTACGTAATATATTTAATTGTTCCCTTGTTTTTCCCATCTTTATATCATTGATGAGTTGCATATATCCATGAATGAGTTGCATATGTCGTACGTGAGTTAAAGATATCACGAAAGAATTGTCTATGTCATGAATGAGTTCCACATGTCACTAATCATGCTGATGAATTGTTTATATCATTAATAAGTTGCATGTATCCAGGGATTTATCTTGACTTGCTTGGAGGCCGATATTTGGCCCCAAGTTGTCAGCAAATGTCAGTAAATATTCCCACATTGGAATTAAACATTTCCCAATTCATGCTGTTTGCACTCATGTAACTGGTAACAGGAGCAGAATAGAGGAAGAGGCTTTAATGCTTATTTTAAAAGTATTGCATTGACTACTACTGTATTTGACGTAATAAGCGCCCCGCTTTAATAAGGCCCATGGCGATATTTGCTTATAAACTGGCTAGTGAACAATCCCAATTAGCACCCTTTCCGATAGATGAATGTACACAAGACTTATTTATTTGTATATAATACGCGCACGTGTGTTATATGCACCCTTAATTATGGGAAATTAAATTTTGGAAAATATATCTGTCGTGTATAATACGCACAGACTTTTCTTTTGTATCATTTCAGGCTGTCAGCATAGACTACGAAATTTACAATCTTTCAACTCTTTTTTTTTTCTCACCAAAATTATATTCTAATAAGAGCCCCCTATTTCTAATTTTGAGAGCGAGCTGGGCGCTTATTACGTCGAATATGGTATGTCAAATTCAATGTTATATTTCTGAATTTACCAATTTTGAAGAAAATGAAGATTTTCCCCAATTTGACAATACTTCTGAATTTACCAATTTTGAAGAAAAAATAGATTTTCCCCAATTTGACAATACTTCTGAATTTACCAATTTTGAAAAAAATATAGATTTTTCCCCCATTTGACATGACAAGGGGACATCGTTTTGGAACCCAAGACAAACCTCTGATATCATGAGTTATGCATACTGTGAATGAGTTAAATATGTCACTAATAAGTTGCATATATCCTGGACATGATGAATGAGTTGTATGCAGCATCATGAATAAAATGATTGAGATGTATCGGGATATAAATCCAAAAATGCATGTCATGCATGTTGTGCATGGTATATACATGTATTTGCATCAGAATGTGATACGAGGAGTACTTTGCGCCAAGGTAAAACAGTTGTTTCGTCTCTTGATGATTGTAATGCTGAATGCATGTTCACAGATGCGCATCACTAAGTAAGTATCCATTTTTCAGTAAAGGTATATTGTGTTCCTATTTTGGTGGCATTCTTGTGAGAATTTGGTCTGTGTTCAATGGATCAAATGTTATTTGTTGGTGATTTGTATATTTTATTCATATCTTTATGAGTTCATAATAATAGATATTTTATGTTTTTGTAAGTAGCAAATTGATTGTTCATAGACATATAATTCCCTGTATAATTTGATGGGCATAAGAAACACAACATCTGAACCTTATCAAGAAATAATGTTCTTCCAACTTTTCCAAAATAATAAGTAAATTTTGTTACTGGATTTCAGCAGCCAACCCTTCATTAATAATTCCTTACAGTGATATATAGACGTTTGTTACAGACAAATAAAATATGTGATTATCAGTTGTATTTACCAGTATTTTTAGCATATGCGAATAGATTAATGAATGCTCTCAGTTCGGCATCTTGGAGGTCAGGTCAGGTGTTGCATCATGTAGTTACACGATGTGATACACGATTTTGATTTTGTATCCGCGATCATAAAGAAATATTTCTTGCAATAATCCATCTTGCAATAACCAAGTCTGATATCTACTCTGGCTAGTGTTACCTAATCATGAAACAAAAGGCTAAATCTTATTGCATTGTCCTTATGGAATGAATCTAGATAAAAAAAGTCATGGAATTTCACTAGTTGACGGCAAACCTTGTATAAGCCGGGTTGCATTGTCACGGATGGCACAAATTTTGTTTTCGCAATATGCATCATGTCCTGACCTGACGTATTATGATCAGTGTCTATACATGAAGTAGGTGACCCCAGACGATCCGGGTGAGAGTTGGTCTTTGGCAATCCATGTTGTGGTCAGACGCACTGACTTGGGTGATGCAACCTCGTATCCCAATTGTATAGATCGATGCTGATGATGTCAATCACTGGATTGTCTGGCCCAGACTCGATTATTTACAAACCGTCTTAATACAGCTGGATTATTGCTGAGTGGTGTTAAACAACAAAACATAAAAACCAACCTAAGGTAGATGTAACATGACACCCCTACTCTCAATGGCACCCGTGAAGATCCCCGTCAGAATAGGTCTTCAGCAACCCATACTTGCTGTAAAAGGCAACCAAGTTTGTCGTAAGAGGCGACTAACTTGATCAGGTGGTTGGGCTCGCTGACTTGGTTGATGCGTATCATTGTATCCCAATTGCAGTGATCGATGCTCATGATATCAATTGCTGGATTGTCTGGTCCAGACTCGATTATTTACAGACCAGCGTCATATAGCTGGAATATTGCTGAGTGCGGTGTTAAACAACAAACAAACTCTCAATGGATTTCACAAACATCCTGTACTTGTGTCATTGCAAATGTCTGAAGGATGCCATGTGTTATTGGAATCTGTTTTGTGTGTCTGCCATGTTATCTGTATTCCCTCTGTGGCAGAGGGTGTATTTCCCAGCTGTCCAGTGCCTGGAGCTTGTATCATAGCATCATGTGCTTTTCCCTGATCAGTCCTTACGTTTTTAAATATCATGACATACTCCTAAATATTTAATATCTAAATACATTAAATTTTGTGAGACACAATTTGATAAGAACACTTTTGATGCATAATTGTTTGGTACAACAAACAAACAAACAAACAAAACATAGTAAGAATCTGGACCTATAACATAAATCACGAGCCAAGTTTTATTTGCCATATTACATGTAGCATACATCATGCAAGTTATTACTGATGCCTATCATAACTGACATGTATATATAAATACCTGGAAACAAACTAGCACCACTCCATTGTTTTCATATAGATGTTAGTGCTCGCTATTTCTACACCGGGATGTGAGAGCATCCCTTCAGAGGTCGCATCAGAACCTTTTCCTGTCGGAAGACTTTTCTCATTGACCATGTCCTCCATGAAACAATTTTGTTCATTGTCCATTGACCAGGTATCATCCAAATGTCCTTGGAGAAGGTTTGTCCATTGCCTGCACTCGGAGGAGGTGACCTTGACCTTGACCTTGAGATGGTTTTATCCATTGACTTTTGTTTCCACAGAAGTTGTAACCATTGCTATGCCCAAGATAAGGTCCATTTGCCTTGCTCTCCAAAAAGCTTTTATCCATTGACCATGTCCTCCAAGGAAAGATTTTGTCCGTTGACCAAGTTCTCCAAGTAACTTCTTTTCGTGGTGTTTAGAAGTTGGTATGATGAACAAGGGAGATCATTCTATGGATGTACAACTTCTTTTTTACAATGAATGTGTAGAGACTTCACATTTCTATACATCACTGGCTTGATGATGTTGATAGTATCTACACCGAAACGTCGCAGTCATTGTAATAGACTGTCCATAGAACTATCTCCCTTGTCCATGTTCTCCAAGGTTTTGTCCTTTGACCTTGTCCACCAAGAAAAGGTTTTGTCCATATGCCTTTCATCCATTGATTTTGAACTTAAAAAAGTCATTTTCCTCTGATCCGTACCTCTGAGAATTGTTTTTTTTCACGGACTATGTTCTGTGTTACAGGATTCAGGAGTCCGAGCTGAAGACACAGCGGGAGCAGGTCATCATGTACCAGGACATGTTGGAAGCGAAGGACCAGATCATCATGAAACTGACCAATCAAATCTATGAACTGGAGAAACTCAAGGGCAAGAACTCTGTGTCACCCTTACCTAGTCCAACGCTGCCTGCTCCTGTGATTATACCTAATACCAAAGAGTTAGAAACATTAAGAGTAAGACGATGTTTTTCATGTTTTTCAATGAGCATCATATACACTTGCTCTAAAGTTGTTAGATCAGGATTACAACATTCAAGCCCTTAGTCAAGCTTTCAAAAGATTTTATTTTAGACATGTAGAGGACATTTCCAAGTTTGATGCATCAGTGAAAAAATGATGTCCGATAGAAAGTAACTGTAGTAATATTTTACGCGCATGTACTCTACATACGATTATCTTCATCAACATCCGGGTCTTTGTCTTTCTGTCGAGTGATGTCTTTGTTCTTGATAGCTATTCAGTCCTGCATTTGATGTTGCAGGCCTAGATGCATATTTTACATGTGGTTATTGCTTTAAAGGGGACAAGTTGACAGAGACTGGTGTATTGCACTTGTATCAAAGTTTATAATGGATATCAGTTTGTTATGACGTTAGTTTATTAAAAATGTGACATTCTTATCAGTAGTATGCTATGTGTGTTGTGATTATGCACAGTAAAATTCAATGCATGATGTAATTTTCAGTGTTTGTCATCATGTTTGTTGAATTTTCACCCCAAATGCCTAGGTTTACCGTTACTTCATCTACTGTATGTATTGTGATGTGTATAGTATTGTAACTTGTCTGTTGTACTGCCTAATTCCTGATGGGTAAACAAAGTAGAAATTAACTTTTAAAGGCCTTTTAAAGAGGAGTGGGGTTGAATTGTAAAGTAATCTTTGTGAGCGCCCTCCTATAAGACCAAATATTTACGTGACAGTCTATATTTTGGTGTTTATGACAAGCTTCCTCGGAAGGAACAAATAGTGTCAGCACTATCAGCTGTTAAAGGTGATGTTCAATATGTTCTTCTCCTTGAATAGGATTCTTGCCAAGCTTATGAGCTACAGAACAAATTCCTAACCAAAGAAATACTGGAGCTGAATCAACTGCGGCAGAATGATGAGGCTCGGGAGAAGATGCTGCTTATGTGAGTACGCTGGCACATCCAACCACTTGGGGATTCCAGGACAGAATAGGTCCCCAGTACCCCATGCACGGCACATCCAACCACTTGGGGATTCCAGGGCAGAACAGGTCCCCAGTACCCCATGATGGCACATTCAACCACTTGGGGATTCCTGGACAGAATAGGTCCCCAGTACCCCATGCATGGCACATCCAACCACTTGGGATTCCTGGACAGAACAGGTCCCCAGTACCCCATGATGGCACATTCAACCACTTGGGGATTCCTTGACAGAATAGGTCCCCAGTACCCCATGCATGGCACATCCAACCACTTGGGATTCCTGGACAGAACAGGTCCCCAGTACCCCATGATGGCACATTCAACCACTTGGGGATTCCTGGACAGAATAGGTCCCCAGTACCCCTTGCATGGCACATCTAACCACTTGGGATTCCTCAGCAGAATAGGTCCCCAGTACTCCATGCATGGCACATCCAACCACTTGGGGATTCCTGGACAGAACAGGTCCCCAGTACCCCATGCACGGCACATCCAACCACTTGGGGATTCCAGGGCAGAACAGGTCCCCAGTACCCCATGCATGGCACATTCAACCACTTGGGGCTTCCTGGGCAGAACAGGTCCCCAGTACCCCATGCATGGCACATTCAACCACTTGGGGCTTCCTGGGCAGAACAGGTCCCCAGTACCCCATGCATGGCACATCCAACCACTTGGGGATTCCTGGACAGAATAGGTCCCCAGTACCCCATGCATGGCACATCCAACCACTTGGGGATTCCAGGACAGAATAGGTCCCCAGTACCCCATGCATGGCACATCCAACAGCTTGGGGATTCCTGGACAGAACAGGTCCCCAGTACCCCATGCATGGCACATCCAACCACTTGGGATTCCAGGACAGAGTAGGTCCCCAGTACCCCATGCATGGCACATCCAACAGCTTTGGGATTCCAGGGCAGAACAGGTCCCCAGTACCCCATGCATGGCACATCCAACCACTTGGGCATTCCTGGACAGAACAGGTCCCCAGTACCCCATGCATGGCACATCCAACCACTTGGGATTCCTTGACAGAACAGGTCCCCAGTACCCCATGATGGCACATTCAACCACTTGGGGATTCCTGGACAGAATAGGTCCCCAGTACCCCTTGCATGGCACATCCAACCACTTGGGATTCCTCGGCAGAATAGGTCCCCAGTACCCTATGCATGGCACATCCAACCACTTGGGGATTCCTTGACAGAATAGGTCCCCAGTACCCCATGCATGGCACATCCAACCACTTGGGGATTCCTGGACAGAACAGGTCCCCAGTACCCCATGCATGGCACATCCAACCACTTGGGATTCCTGGACAGAATAGGTCCCCAGTACCCCATGCATGGCAAATCCAACCACTTGGGGATTCCTGGACAGAACCGGTCCCCAGTATCCCATGCATGGCACATCCAACCACTTGGGGATTCCTGGACAGAATAGGTCCCCAGTACCCCATGCATGGCACATCCAACCACTTGGGATTCCAGGACAGAACAGGTCCCCAGTACCCCATGCATGGCACATCCAACCACTTGGGGCTTCCTGGACAGAATAGGTCCCCAGTACCCCATGCATGGCACATTCAACCACTTGGGGCTTCCTGGGCAGAACAGGTCCCCAGTACCCCATGCATGGCACATCCAACCACTTGGGGATTCCAGGACAGAACAGGTCCCCAGTACCCCATGCATGGCACATCCAACAGCTTGGGGATTCCAGGACAGAATAGGTCCCCAGTACCCCATGCATGGCACATCCAACCACTTGGGATTCCTGGACAGAACAGGTCCCCAGTACCCCATGCATGGCACATCCAACAGCTTGGGGATTCCAGGACAGAACAGGTCCCCAGTACCCCATGCATGGCACATTCAACCACTTGGGGATTCCAGGACAGAACAGGTCCCCAGTACCCCATGCATGGCACATCCAACCACTTGGGGATTCCAGGACAGAACAGGTCCCCAGTACCCCATGCACGGCACATCCAACCATTTGGGATTCCTAGGCAGAATAGGTCCCCAGTACCCCATGCATGGCACATCCAACCATTTGGGATTCCTAGGCAGAATAGGTCCCCAGTACCCTATGCATGGCACATCCAACCATTTGAGGCTATCAAGATACAACAGGTCCCCAGTACCCCATGCATGGCACATCCAACCATTTGGGATTCCTGGGCAGAATAGGTCCCCAGTACCCCATGCATGGCACATCCAACCATTTGGGGCTATCTGGACAGAACAGGTCCCCAGTACCCGATGCATGGCACATCCAACCACTTTGGGATTCCTTGACAGAATAGGTCCCCAGTACCCCATGCATGGCACATCCAACCATTTGGGGCTATCTGGACAGAACAGGTCCCCAGTACCCCATGCATGGCACATCCAACCACTTGGGGATTCCAGGACAGAACAGGTCCCCAGTACCCCATGCATGGCACATCCAACCACTTGGGCATTCCAGGACAGAATAGGTCCCCAGTACCCCATGCATGGCACATCCAACCACTTGGGCATTCCTTGACAGAACAGGTCCCCAGTACCCCATGCATGGCACATCCAACCACTTGGGGATTCCAGGACAGAACAGGTCCCCAGTACCCTATGCATGGCACATCCAACCACTTGGGGATTCCTGGACAGAACAGGTCCCCAGTACCCCATGCATGGCACATCCAACCACTTGGGATTCCTGGACAGAATAGGTCCCCAGTACCCCATGCATGGCAAATCCAACCACTTGGGGATTCCTGGACAGAACCGGTCCCCAGTATCCCATGCATGGCACATCCAACCACTTGGGGATTCCTGGACAGAATAGGTCCCCAGTACCCCATGCATGGCACATCCAACCACTTGGGATTCCAGGACAGAACAGGTCCCCAGTACCCCATGCATGGCACATCCAACCACTTGGGGCTTCCTGGACAGAATAGGTCCCCAGTACCCCATGCATGGCACATTCAACCACTTGGGGCTTCCTGGGCAGAACAGGTCCCCAGTACCCCATGCATGGCACATCCAACCACTTGGGGATTCCAGGACAGAACAGGTCCCCAGTACCCAATGCATGGCACATCCAACCACTTGGGGATTCCAGGACAGAATAGGTCCCCTGACCCCATGCATGGCACATCCAACCACTTGGGGATTCCAGGACAGAACAGGTCCCCAGTACCCCATGCATGGCACATCCAACCACTTGGGATTCCTTGACAGAACAGGTCCCCAGTACCCGATGCATGGCACATCCAACCACTTGGGGATTCCAGGACAGAACAGGTCCCCAGTACCCCATGCATGGCACATCCAACCACTTGGGGATTCCTTGACAGAACAGGTCCCCAGTACCCCATGCATGGCACATCCAACCACTTGGGATTCCTGGACAGAACAGGTCCCCAGTACCCCATGCATGGCACATCCAACCACTTGGGGATTCCAGGACAGAACAGGTCCCCAGTACCCCATGCATGGCACATCCAACAGCTTGGGGATTCCTGGACAGAACAGGTCCCCAGTACCCCATGCATGGCACATCCAACCACTTGGGGATTCCAGGGCAGAATAGGTCCCCAGTACCCCATGCATGGCACATCCAACCACTTGGGATTCCTGGACAGAACAGGTCCCCAGTACCCCATGCATGGCACATCCAACAGCTTGGGGATTCCAGGACAGAATAGGTCCCCAGTACCCCATGCATGGCACATCCAACCACTTGGGATTCCTGGACAGAATAGGTCCCCAGTACCCCATGCATGGCACATCCAACAGCTTGGGGATTCCAGGACAGAACAGGTCCCCAGTACCCCATGCATGGCACATCCAACCACTTGGGGATTCCAGGACAGAACAGGTCCCCAGTACCCCATGCATGGCACATCCAACCACTTGGGGATTCCAGGACAGAACAGGTCCCCAGTACCCCATGCATGGCACATCCAACCACTTGGGGATTCCTGGACAGAATAGGTCCCCAGTACCCCATGCATGGCACATCCAACAGCTTGGGGATTCCTGGACAGAACAGGTCCCCAGTACCCCATGCATGGCACATCCAACCACTTGGGGATTCCAGGACAGAACAGGTCCCCAGTACCCCATGCATGGCACATCCAACCACTTGGGGCTTTCTGGACAGAACAGGTCCCCAGTACCCCATGCATGGCACATCCAACAGCTTGGGGATTCCTGGACAGAACAGGTCCCCAGTACCCCATGCATGGCACATCCAACCACTTGGGGCTTTCTGGACAGAACAGGTCCCCAGTACCCCATGCATGGCACATCCAACAGCTTGGGGATTCCTGGACAGAACAGGTCCCCAGTACCCCATGCATGGCACATCCAACCACTTGGGATTCCTGGACAGAACAGGTCCCCAGTACCCCATGCATGGCACATCCAACCACTTGGGGATTCTAGGACAAAACAGGTCCCCTGACCCCATGCATGGCACATCCAACCACTTGGGGCTATCTGGACAGAACAGGTCCCCAGTACCCCATGCATGGCACATCCAACCACTTGGGGCTATCTGGACAGAACAGGTCCCCAGTACCCCATGCATGGCACATCCAACCACTTGGGGATTCCAGGCCAGAACAGGTCCCCAGTACCCCATGCATGGCACATCCAACAGCTTGGGGATTCCTGGACAGAACAGGTCCCCAGTACCCCATGCATGGCACATCCAACAGCTTGGGTATTCCTGGACAGAACAGGTCCCCAGTACCCCATGCATGGCACATCCAACCACTTGGGGCTATCTGGACAGAACAGGTCCCCAGTACCCCATGCATGGCACATCCAACCACCTGGGGCTATCTGGACAGAACAGGTCCCCAGTACCCCATGCATGGCACATCCAACCACTTGGGGATTCCAGGACAGAAAAGGTCCCCAGTACCCCATGCATGGCACATCCAACAGCTTGGGGATTCCTGGACAGAACAGGTCCCCAGTACCCCATGCATGGCACATCCAACCACTTGGGGATTCCTGGACAGAATAGGTCCCCAGTACCCCATGCATGGCACATCCAACCACTTGGGATTCCAGGACAGAATAGGTCCCCAGTACCCCATGCATGGCACATCCAACAGCTTGGGGATTCCTGGACAGAACAGGTCCCCAGTACCCCATGCATGGCACATCCAACCACTTGGGATTCCTGGGCAGAATAGGTCCCCAGTACCCCATGCATGGCACATCCAACCACTTGGGATTCCTGGACAGAACAGGTCCCCAGTACCCCATGCATGGCACATCCAACCACTTGGGGATTCCAGGACAGAACAGGTCCCCAGTACCCCATGCATGGCACATCCAACCACTTGGGGATTCCTGGACAGAATAGGTCCCCAGTACCCCATGCATGGCACATCCAACCACTGGGGGATTCCAGGGCAGAACAGGTCCCCAGTACCCCATGCATGGCACATCCAACCACTTGGGGATTCCAGGACAGAATAGGTCCCCTGACCCCATGCATGGCACATCCAACCACTTGGGGATTCCTGGACAGAATAGGTCCCCTGACCCCATGCATGGCACATCCAACCACTTGGGATTCCTGGACAGAATAGGTCCCCAGTACCCCATGCATGGCACATCCAACCACTTGGGGATTCCTGGACAGAATAGGTCCCCTGACCCAATGCATGGGAAATAAGCTGGTCCATAATATGGTTACAGCAACCCCAGTATACAACAATGTATGAAGAGAATGACACATATGTTTCTTCTTCCTGCATGCCATTATGTTTTAGGTGTTTTGATGGAACTCCCATGTGCATTGTGCATGTGAAGGGTCGTTGTAGCCAAAACCTGTGACTCAGTTTTAGAATGTTGAGGGGTTTGTCATGAGAGTAAATTTTATATAGGGGCAACTTAAGATATTCTGTTTCCAACTGGAAACAATGATAGCACCATGGATTTGTCATCCCATATGAGTACATTGTTGTCATATGTTGACCGAGCTCAATTTCATATTCCAGAAACTATGCAAAACTGGAAGCCGATTACTATAAGACCAAAAGCCGGTACCTTATTTTGCTGAAGGAAAACCAAGCTCCTGTCATGGGTGAGTGCGCAGCTCTTCTTACACTGTGTTATCAGAACGCAAGGCCCCTGTTACTATGGTTACCACCCAGTGAGGATTCAGGGTTAGAATAGGTCCTCCGTAACCTGTGGTTGTTGTAATAGGTGAGTAGATGGATCGATGGATCAGATGGTCAGGCTCGGTGACTTGGTTGATTGTGTGGCATCCGAACCTGATGGTGTGGGACATTGCTGATAATGTCAATCACGATATGTCAGGCCCATATTTGATTCTTTTAAGACCATCGTCATAAAGCTGGAATATTGCCGAGTGAGATACACGTTAGCATCTCTTTTCTTTAGGGCTTAGCAAAATGGTTTCCTTGATGCTTATGCATTTCTTTTCATCATCGCAGGGTTTACACATTACTCTGATTGGATTCTGCTCAATGTGCGCTTATCACATTCCAAACACAGGGGGCACGGGTGGCCAGTCGTCACGCCAGAAACCTATGATTGTGGGTTCTAATCCTGGTTCGCCCCGATTATGTTTCTAGGTTTGTCAGCACCATACCCGTGCTCGTGGGTTTCACCGAAGTGGTAAACGTCTAAGACCTGCATCACTCCGGGCTTTCCTCCCACATTAAGCTGACACGCCGCGATAATGGAATACAATAGATGTTACAGGATAGATGTAACAACTGATGTTATTGAAAAGACAGAGCCAACCCACAAACTCGTGGATATCAGGGAGTAGATGTAACAATAGATGTTACAGAATAGATGTAACAACTGATGTTATTGAATAGACAGAGCCAACCCACTACCCAGTGGATATCACGGAGTAGATGTAACAATAGATGCTATAGGATAGATAGAGCCAACCCACCACCTTGTGGATATCACGGAGTAGATGTAACAATAGATGCTATAGGACAATAGTCAACCCACCACCTTGTGGATATCACGGAGTAGATGTAACAATAGATGCTATAGGACAGATAGAGCCAACCCACCACCTTGTGGATATCATGGAGTAGATGTAACAATAGATGCTGTAGGACAGACAGAGTCAACCCACCACCTTGTGGATATCACGGAGTAGATGTAACAATAGATGCTATAGGACAGACAGAGCCAACCCACCACCTTGTGGATATCACGGAGTAGATGTAACAATAGATGCTATAGGACAGACAGAGCCAACCCACCACCTTGTGGATATCACGGAGTAGATGATACAATAGATGCTATAGGACAGATGGAGCCAACCCACCACCTTGTGGATATCACGGAGTAGATGTAACAATAGATGCTGTAGGATAGATAGAGCCAACCCACCACCTTGTGGATATCACGGAGTAGATGTAACAATAGATGCTATAGGACAGACAGAGTCAACCCACCACCTTGTGGATATCACGGAGTAGATGATACAATAGATGCTGTAGGACAGATAGAGCCTACCCACCACCTTGTGGATATCACGGAGTAGATGATACAATAGATGCTATAGGACAGACAGAGCCAACCCACCACCTTGTGGATATCACGGAGTAGATGATACAATAGATGCTGTAGGATAGATAGAGTCAACCCACCACCTTGTGGATATCACGGAGTAGATGTAACAATAGATGCTATAGGACAGATAGAGCCAACCCACCACCTTGTGGATATCACGGAGTAGATGATACAATAGATGCTGTAGGACAGACAGAGCCAACCCACCACCTTGTGGATATCACGGAGTAGATGTAACAATAGATGCTATAGGACAGACAGAGCCAACCCACCACCTTGTGGATATCACGGAGTAGATGTAACAATAGATGCTATAGGACAGACAGAGCCAACCCACCAACCTTGTGGATATCAGGGAGTAGATGTAACAATAGATGTTACAGGATAGATGTAACAATAGATGTTACAGGATAGATGTAACAATAGATGTTACATGATAGATGTAACAATAGATGCTATAGGACAGACAGAGCCAACCCACCACCTTGTGGATATCACGGAGTAGATGTTACAATAAATGCTGTAGGATAGATAGAGCCAACCCACCACCTTGTGGATATCACAGAGTAGATGTAACAATAGATGCTATAGGACAGATAGAGCCAACCCACCACCTTGTGGATATCATGGAGTAGATGTAACAATAGATGCTGTAGGATAGATAGAGCCAACCCACCACCTTGTGGATATCACGGAGTAGATGTAACAATAGATGCTATAGGACAGATAGAGCCAACCCACCACCTTGTGGATATCAGGGAGTAGATGATACAATAGATGCTGTAGGATAGATAGAGCCAACCCACCACCTTGTGGATATCACGGAGTAGATGTAACAATAGATGCTATAGGACAGACAGAGCCAACCCACCACCTTGTGGATATCACGGAGTAGATGATACAATAGATGCTATAGGACAGATAGAGCCAACCCACCACCTTGTGGATATCACAGGGTAGATGTAACAATAGATGCTATAGGACAGATAGTCAACCCACCACCTTGTGGATATCAGGGAGTAGATGATACAATAGATGCTATAGGACAGATAGAGCCAACCCACCACCTTGTGGATATCAGGGAGTAGATGTAACAATAGATGCTATAGGACAGATGGAGCCAACCCACCACCTTGTGGATATCACGGAGTAGATGATACAATAGATGCTATAGGACAGACAGAGCCAACCCACCACCTTGTGGATATCACGGAGTAGATGATACAATAGATGCTGTAGGACAGACAGAGCCAACCCACCACCTTGTGGATATCACGGAGTAGATGTAACAATAGATGCTATAGGACAGATAGAGCCAACCCACCACCTTGTGGATATCACGGAGTAGATGTAACAATAGATGCTGTAGGACAGATAGAGCCAACCCACCACCTTGTGGATATCACGGAGTAGATGTAACAATAGATGCTATAGGACAGACAGAGCCAACCCACCACCTTGTGGATATCAGGGAGTAGATGTAACAATAGATGCTGTAGGACAGACAGAGTCAACCCACCACCTTGTGGATATCAGGGAGTAGATGATACAATAGATGCTGTAGGATAGATAGAGCCAACCCACCACCTTGTGGATATCACGGAGTAGATGATACAATAGATGCTGTAGGATAGATAGAGCCAACCCACCACCTTGTGGATATCACGGAGTAGATGTAACAATAGATGCTGTAGGACAGACAGAGTCAACCCACCACCTTGTGGATATCAGGGAGTAGATGATACAATAGATGCTGTAGGATAGATAGAGCCAACCCACCACCTTGTGGATATCACGGAGTAGATGATACAATAGATGCTGTAGGATAGATAGAGCCAACCCACCACCTTGTGGATATCACGGAGTAGATGTAACAATAGATGCTGTAGGACAGACAGAGTCAACCCACCACCTTGTGGATATCAGGGAGTAGATGATACAATAGATGCTGTAGGATAGATAGAGCCAACCCACCACCTTGTGGATATCACGGAGTAGATGTAACAATAGATGCTGTAGGATAGATAGAGCCAACCCACCACCTTGTGGATATCACGGAGTAGATGTAACAATAGCCCACCACCTTGTGGATATCACGGAGTAGATGTAACAATAGCCCACCACCTTGTGGATATCACGGAGTAGATGTAACAATAGCCCACCACCTTGTGGATATCACGGAGTAGATGATACAATAGATGCTATAGGACAGACAGAGCCAACCCACCACCTTGTGAATATCACGGAGTAGATGATACAATAGATGCTGTAGGATAGATAGAGCCAACCCACCACCTTGTGGATATCACGGAGTAGATGTAACAATAGCCCACCACCTTGTGGATATCACGGAGTAGATGATACAATAGATGCAGTAGGATAGATAGAGCCAACCCACCACCTTGTGGATATCACGGAGTAGATGTAACAATAGATGCTGTAGGATAGATAGAGCCAACCCACCACCTTGTGGATATCACGGAGTAGATGTAACAATAGATGCTATAGGACAGATAGAGCCAACCCACCACCTTGTGGATATCACGGAGTAGATGTAACAATAGATGCTGTAGGACAGATAGAGCCAACCCACCACCTTGTGGATATCACGGAGTAGATGTAACAATAGATGCTGTAGGACAGACAGAGTCAACCCACCACCTTGTGGATATCACGGAGTAGATGATACAATAGATGCTGTAGGATAGATAGAGCCAACCCACCACCTTGTGGATATCACGGAGTAGATGATACAATAGATGCTGTAGGATAGATAGAGCCAACCCACCACCTTGTGGATATCACGGAGTAGATGTAACAATAGATGCTGTAGGACAGACAGAGCCAACCCACCACCTTGTGGATATCACGGAGTAGATGATACAATAGATGCTGTAGGATAGATAGAGCCAACCCACCACCTTGTGGATATCACGGAGTAGATGTAACAATAGATGCTATAGGACAGACAGTCAACCCACCACCTTGTGGATATCACGGAGTAGATGTAACAATAGATGCTATAGGACAGATAGAGCCAACCCACCACCTAGTGGATATCACGGAGTAGATGTAACAATAGATGCTGTAGGATAGATAGAGCCAACCCACCACCTTGTGGATATCACGGAGTAGATGTAACAATAGATGCTATAGGACAGAAAGAGCCAACCCACCACCTAGTGGATATCACGGAGTAGATGTAACAATAGATGCTGTAGGATAGATAGAGCCAACCCACCACCTTGTGGATATCACGGAGTAGATGTAACAATAGATGCTATAGGACAGACAGAGCCAACCCACCACCTTGTGGATATCACAGAGTACATGTAACAATAGATGCTATAGGACAGACAGAGCCAACCCACCACCTTGTGGATATCACGGAGTAGATGTAACAATAGATGCTATAGGACAGACAGAGCCAACCCACCACCTTGTGGATATCACGGAGTAGATGTAACAATAGATGCTATAGGACAGATAGAGCCAACCCACCACCTTGTGGATATCACG